TTCTACCTTATTTATTATGCCTATCAAATTTATTCATACACTCAACCTCATGCAAACAAGAGCATTATATTTTTAATTATGTGAGGATTTTGCTTTCTACAACAGCCAACTAAGGTTTGATGCAACAGGGATTTTGATGCATTCGACCTACGGCTAAGGTTACCAGCTGTTGTAAGTAAATTGCATAAAGCCATAAAACGAAATGGTGGAGTGGCTTACATACATTGCACTGCTGGACTTGGAAGAGCTCCTGCTGTTGCGGTATGCGCATAAGCTTGCTTGTAGAAATAAATTGCACTGCTGTACAAATTATTTGTTTGGAATATTATGATTTTAATTCAGTATAATAGGGCACGAAAAATAGAATCTCTCCTGAAAAAGGTTGTCTTGGTTTTATGTGCTGTTTCATACCCTGCTCCATTTAAGTTTTTTTGTATAGATAAACGTAATTGTGCAGTTATTTTTGTCTTTACTTTCTATTGATTTCTTCAGCCCCCATTTTGTCCGTCTCCTTCTTCATCATGTTAATATTTTGGCTATTGTCTGATATTACAACAATTTTTCTTTTAATTCCTAAGGATGTATTCTGCTGGGTAACTGGATACATGCCTTAAGGTTTGAAATAAATTTCTGTGCTTTTGTTTGAGACGTTTGAGATATTCAGCTCCAGTTAGAGTGTTAATCTTTGGTTGACAGTTCTTAAACAACATCCAATGCACTTTTTTCTGTTCCCTTTATTTTCATCAAAAAAGAATTGTAAGGTTAATGTAGATTATAAACAGTGATCACATCTGCTCCAACATTTTTAGCTTTGTGTACTAAGTACATTTGTTTTCTTTGCTTTGCCAACTATTGTTTTTTTAACGATGATGAAAAATTAAGTTCAGATTAATATCCAAAATATCACAATCAAATATTTCTGAGGTTGCTGTTATATGAAAACGGTTATGAACATCACGTTTTAATCTGAATGTCCATGTAAAGTTAGGATTGTGAATCTGTTCATGTACAGTTGTTTTATATAAAAAAAAATATTAATTTTAATTTTTGTATTTGGAATACTTGCTTTATAATATGGGTCCGGAGAGAGAAAATTCATCTTGAAATGTATTTGTATTTGTAGTTGTAGATTGCAAGTTAAGTAATTGTAATTTTTACAATACTTGATAGAGATTATTGTCCTGCCTTACAAAATAAACAACTGTAACCTTGTATATGGAAATTATTTTTGGCCATATTAATGAAAGTCCAGTAGCATTACAAATGTCGATGTACTCTTCCTCCCAGAGGAATTTGAGATCCTATGGGTTCTTGAGAATTTCAATTTTTCACGAGCATTCTGTGGATTTTTTAAAATCTTATATCCATCTTAGTTCATTTCTAGCACAATCTTAATTATTGATAATTATGTCGATTAATTTCTTACCAACTTTTAAAATATCTTATGAACTGCAGATGGCATACATGTTCTGGGTTCAAGGCTACACACTCAATGAGGCTTTAGAATTACTGCTGGTAACATCCATTATACTCATTTAGTGTTGCAGTATGAAAATCTTCTATTGGTTGATTTACTCTGCGTGTTCCTATTATTATCTATTTGAATTGGAAAAATAGGACTCCAGAAATATTATTTACATTATTAAAAAAAAATTAATCAGAACAACCGAGTTCTGACTGAGAAAATTGAATGATTACAAAAAGTGTCTAGAAAGCACCTACCAAAAGGAGCCAAATAAAATCTGAACTAAATTCTACAACTCTACTTCAGTTTGGAGTTGATAAATCTTTTTGGTTAATCATTGCACTAACCAAAGTGTCAACTAGTTTCTTGACTTGTAATCGTAGCGTCAACATGGGATGTTCCAAAAAAAAGACTTTTCTTTTTAAAGTTCTAATTTTTTAATATTGTACTATATAGTTAACAAATAATATTTGTAGCATTCTAATCCCAAATACTTCGGCAGTCCTTTTTCGTTGTCGTCCTCAGCATATCTTTTATAGTGTAAAGCGAAGACATTCTCCCATTTAAAGTATGGGTCCAACAGTTTTTCTCATACTTTACTGAGTAATGAATGCAATAGCTTATTAAATCAGTCATGATTTGTGACGTAGATTGCTGGGAGGAAAAGTACTGATATAAATTTATCGGCTTCTAATGTTGCTGAATGTGCTTTGATTTGCTTTCTTGCAGAGCAAACGCTCATGCTTCCCAAAAATAGATGCTATTAAAAGTGCAACGGCCGATATTGTAAGTATTTATATTTTATGGTTTATTTGAATAACAGTTTTGGTCCCTTTTATTTTTATCCCCAAATCTGAAGTTGCATTGTTTTTTTAGTTGAGGTCAGTGGGTTATTGCTTATAATGTGGTACAAAAGTGATTAACCGCTATATTTTTCTTGAAGCTTTCAGGATTTAAAAACAAGCCTGTCACTTTATCATGGGAGAATGACCAATGCTCAACTGTAGAAGTATCTGGGCTTGATATTGGATGGGGCCAGGTAACAATTCTTTTTCTCTTTCTTCCCTTGCCATCCTCTTGATGCTTATTAATTCCTTGAATGTTGATTTAGTTTTGGAAAACAGTGCACGCATAACATATGTCCTATTCTTTAGTAGATTAATAGATATTTTGATGCCTTAAACAATGTTAGAAACTACCGACTCTCCACAATGGTATGATATCATCCACTTTTAGCATAAGGTCTCGTGGCTTTACTTTTGGTTTCCCAAAATGCCTCATACCAAGGGTGATGGTGTTCCTTATAAACCTACGGTCTTCCCTGTAGTCACAATAATTTTCAACGAACAGTCCCTAAGTAGTAGGCATTTATGGCAGTAATAACTACATTTTGATGTAACACTGAGAAGTACTTTTGAAGCTTGATGAGACTTTTAAATTTTACATTTTGATTCTTTAACTCTAGATAAGATAGAAATAACAGGGCTGGTTTTAAATGAAAGTTTTTCCTTTCCTGCCGTTGGTGAATGGACGATGTAGTTCAGAAGCTGTCTATATCCTAGAAAGAATTTGGACATTTTTACCTCCGGATGGTGTGACGTTGTGGAGTTATTTTGATAACTTGGTTCATGGTTGTGACTTATTACTCAAATTCAGTTTTTCCTTTAGTTATATATTATTATATAAGCTTCATCTATGTTCTAAATTCTAATATATACTCTAGATCATGACATATTAATGCTGTGAAATACTGAAACGGAAATAGTTTAGAATCATTGTAGCTGAACGATTCAGTATCTTGTGTCTATTGCTCGATTTCACAATCTAATTAGTTACGAGATGAAATATTTAGTGTATTCTCGATGAATTTTAGAATTATCAACAAATTTTACAGGTTAGAAATTGTATTTATTGTTTTGTCTGTGGAACTTTTTTTTTTTTCCAGAGAATTCCATTAAAATTCGACAAGGAACGAGGTGCATGGATTCTCAATAAGGAACTGCCGGTATGACAATTATAATCAACCATTTCAATGTTGCCTAAATTTGAAATTCTAATTAGATTATTTTTGCACATCAATTGTGAGTATGGAGATTTGAATCCTGACCTCGTGAATTTAAGAACTATGACGGAATTTGTTTGATTTTGCTTTAACAGGAAGGACGATACGAATACAAGTATATTATTGATGGTGTATGGACGTGCAACGAAAACGAGCCGGTCACTCCACCCAACAAAGATGGCCACGTCAACAATTTCATTGAAGTACGATTTTAGATTATTCAATTTTATAAATAAAAAATTCGACCCTAAATTTTCCTCGGTAGAAAAAAATAATATGTTATTTTTTGTTTGTTTGTTTAGGTGGTTGAAGATGAGGATCCAGGTAGTGATAGAACCATGCTTCGGGCAAGATTAACTGGAGATGAACCTGAACTCACGACCGAAGAAAGAAGCAAAATAATACAATTTCTAGAAGATTGCCCAGATGAAAATTGAATTAAGGTATGTTGCATTGCAAATGCTATCTAAGATTGCATTAATATTATTTTATTCTAAGAATATGTCAATTGAATATAATGCGTGCAATCTACTATAATAATAGTAGAGTAGTGTCAATAACGACCAAAAATGGATTTAGTACTGTTCCACGATCACTATGATTCGTCTCACAACATTAAGAATCATGTTATATGACTTTACGGAAATAATATTTTATTAATGTTATTGTTTATAGGTTTATAATCTCTGATTTTTCTTTCAAATTTCCATACTTTTATTTTGATCTCTAGATGTTTAGTTGGTAAATTGGCCTAAAATATAATTTAATTTTCCTTATTTTTTATAGATCATTTTATAGTGTTATTAAGAAAAACATGACTTTTATAGTTACAAAATAAGATCATAATTTGATAATTGATATAACAAAATCACTGGTGAACAAATATTTTGAAAAACATAAAATAAAAAAAGCACTAAAATACGATTTATTATTCTATTTTTTCACAAGCTAAAAAATTAAAATAGTTAACAAACCTGCCTAGTTTTTGCCTTAAAATAATAGGACGCCAAAAACAAAAAATAACTAAGTGTTTTTACCTATGACAATCAATAAAATGTTTCATCCTTATTTTCTGCACTTGGCTTTGTTAGTCTTCCTCGACATTAAATTTTTTTAATTCTTTTTAAACACACTCGTTTCGTCCTACAAATTCACATTAATTCACTACATTTACTAAAATATGATTTTAAGTTTTTTAATAATATATACGAACTTTTTAAGATATGTAGTGAATAGAGAGACTCTAGATGTGTATCCATCATACTACATTTACTAAAATATGATTTTAAGTTTTTTAATAATATACACGAACTTTTTAAGATATGTAGTGAATAGAGAGACTCTAGATATGTATCCATCATTTCATCAATTTCGCTAAGTTCTAAATTTTTAGTATCCATCGTTTCATCAATTTCGCTAAGTTCTAAATTGATTGCAAAAAATGATTACAAGATATTATATATGTTCAAAAAATGATTACAAGATATTATATCGAAGGAAGACATTATCTAATTGCTAATTGCTAATTGCTAAAATCGACGTATTATGGAAAAGAGGTTGAAAGAAAGTGACGTACTTGAATTGACGAGTCTTCCTGTACTCGTAAAGCATCATCACCATTTCGATCTATCATATCTAATCTGCTGCTAACCGTTTGAAAGAAGAGAACCAATTATCTAGTCAATAAGAAAATCCCAATTTTCGATGAGAAGATAAAAATAAATAAATGAGTTCAACTTACCATTTACTGCAAAGAGACTATTAGTTTGTTGTCAGCTATTTTCCAAGTGGTTTTTGCTTGTGTTCATGATTACGGCGGTTGCCTGATTTTTTATGTCGGGATTTTGTCCTCTTTTCAACTTTTTGCCTATGCCTTTCTTTGCTTTTCCTTGCATACATCCCTTCCCAGAATACGTCTCCTGTTAATGGCCATAACCATTTGGTTCTCGGTTGTTCGCCATCATCGGCAGCTTCGGCCAAGTCTGCATCCATGGCTTTCAATAATGTGATGTTGAAGAATTTGGACCACATGAAGTCCTGACGTTCTTCAAGGGGATGCTGCTCCTCTAGCGAGCCTGAACGTGGGGTTAAATAAACCATTCTCCGCCCGCTGTGGTACGCCCACACGTTTATCAGGATATCCAACAGCCGGCAATAACACTGCCTTCTCTGCCCATCAAAAACAGAAGACTCAAAAATTTTAAGAACCTAATAAAAAATCTTAAAGTGCTTTTAGGAGAAACACTTAATAAATTTTCTTTTGCGGTGCTAATGTAATAAGTGTTTTATTTAAAATATAGTTTTAGAAGGCATTTCAAACACGTATTGGGAGTGGTTTTGGGACCATTTAATTAGTGTTTTTCCCAAAAATTTTGAAGTACTTAGGGAAGAATTGCGTTAACTCGAACATTATAAAGAAATTAATTTCTAAAAAAGGGGGAAGAAAAACAAACTCACCCTTCTAACTGCACCATAGAAGTAATCTCCTCAAGGGAGAGAAGTAGGATATTTACCTCCAGTCCAGTGGAAGCCAGCAAACATTTGCTGCTATTGCCAAGCTTTCTGTTCACGGCATCTACGGAATCAACAAACATCCTGCAGCTCAAATACGAAAATTTCAGTCATTATTCTGATATAATGCATCCATTATAACAGTGGTGAGGGAGGAAATTTTGAAGAACAAAAAATAGAGGGAATGTGCGAGATATATGGGGTTCTACTTCTGATATATATATAATGTGCTTACCGGGAAAACATTATGAACTCCACAAATGTAGGGGTTGGCATCACCCAGCTATGCAGATAAGACCAGAGACCACCATCATCAGGCATTGGAGGAAGAGCTTCCGAATGTGATGGATGCAGTCCATACATCTGCCTAAAGGCATCTTTAAACGTAGAACTGGATGGATGTAATTTTAAGTGAGAACATGTTCAAATTGCATCTGTTTAATGTAATTTTAGTTCTTCATTTCGTATTTGATGTAAATTAGTGATCATAAAGTTAGTTAACACACACGACTTGGAAGTTGATGCAGAATCAATTCAACTCTCTCTATACGTGGTGTAGACTCGACTTCTATCTTTGGAATTCTTCTTCTTTTTAAACCTTTCATGCTCTTTAATGAGAACTATTTGTTTTAAAAAAAACAATGGAAGACTTGACCTATGAACAGCTAACTTATCATACAAGAATATGTTGAATGACTGATATACCTGCAATGTCCCCGATTGAGGATGTCACATGTGTGCCAAAAAGGACCATCAGTGCTGTCCGTGACTTCAGAATCCACGTCCATGTACGCCCAAAAGTAAATAACTTCCCCTCTAGTATTCTTCTGAATTGCTTCTTCCAAGACCTTTCCAGCCTTTTTGGATAATGACTCCTGCTTTTTAACAGAAGAGGCTGATTACGAATCAGAGGAATAGAAGTAAATAAATAAATAGATTAAAAAAAAAAATCTATTTATTGGCATAGAGCTTAAAAACCGTTCATTAACCTGGAGGCCAGTGGTTTAATAAAGCCTAAGATTGATTACACAAGAAGATATATTCTCAAAATCTTTGACTACCAGATTCCAGATGATTATGAAAATCTTTCATTTGCAAACCAAATAGAGTGGGCGGCCGTTAAGAAAAGGGGGTAAAAGTATTCCTTGTCTAAACTAGAACCTCCAAAAATTTCTATCCACCATTTACATTTCTCTTGAAGCCTTACAGCCATCCAATAGTACAACTAAGCAAGAAAGAATGTTAGCAAGTGCGGATTACCTTACTACCGTCAGCTTGCCACGATTGGAAACCAATCCAAGGTCTTCTGTGAATCGTATCAATCTTATTTGCAACAGCAAACATTCCTCCCATCTCACAAAGAATGTCCTGATAGAATCTGTCTTCCAAAAGAGGAAGACGCTTGGGAGCATTGACATCATCTGATTCCAACCTCAGTGCGCTCGAAGACTGTAGGGTACAATGTAAATTACAAGCAATAAAGAATGTAAAATGAGTATCTTGGAAGCAAGGAATACATCCACATTTAAGAATAACAAGTTCAAAAAGTTAAAAAAATGGGCCAAGATTGAGTTTAATGTTTGACACCATAAAATTCACAAGTTCTAAATTCAACAATCTAGTTGATGTTTTTTTAAGGAAGCGATGGCTGGATATGTAGCAAAACTATCTTGTCATTTATTTTACTTGCTCATAGATTTGATGACAAAATCTAAACTCTATTATCTCTTATACATGTTTAACATTCAAGACTGAGGATCTAGCAAGAGAGCACGATTGATGGACTAAAATCTTACTTGCATTTTCGAATGAATGACACAGAAGATAATAACAAAGAAAAGTGAGACAAAATAAAACAAACAGAAAAATATCAGCAGATAGTTTTGGATGGAAGAAGCTCACAAGACTAAGTCCACGAAACATAGAACCATGATGCAAAAATGACCAAGCTCCAGGTGCGCTGTATATCTCATAAATGCATACTGCTTGCCCTGCCCTTTCAAGATCTTCCTCGTCATTCTCATTTTCAAGCTTCATCTTTTCGGACTTCCGTGCGCTACGATATATTTTTTCCCATGAACCTAATATTCTTTCTGTTCTTTCTTGAAGCTACATAACAAATCACATATGGCCTCGCTCTCAGGAAAGTGAGTGACATAAACATTGCAGACAAGCCATAATGGAAAAATAACGACATACCTCCTCCATTTCCACTCTGTCATGTTCTTCAGTACGATCTATTTCCCCGATAATATCCCAATCTTGTTGAGTTGGGATGTCATGCACCAAAATCTCCTTTCTAGGACTGGAGATGTTCAAGGGACTAACAAGGTCAGAGAACTCCTCTTCGAGTTTAATCACCACACTAGATTTCTTTTTAACATTCTTATCGCGTTGCTCATTGGAAGATCCTTGTATTATTTCCTTCCAAAAGAGATCCCATTCCCACGCTGCTTCTGGAAGCTGGGTAATGGAACCTGGCAGTATAACGTCTGATGGGAAATTGAGGACTTCCTCCAACAGATTTGCATATCCAGTAATGCACTCTAAAGCAAGAAGATTTTTGGCAAGTAATTTTCCAGATGAAGCAAGATTGTTAGCAATTCTAGCGAGCCTTCCATCAAAACAAAGATTAGAGAGAGCTCTTATCAAAGCATCTGAACTGAATTTAGTAACAAGTAATCCATGGACCCCCCCAACAACCTGCATGTTTCAAGACACTATTGTTATATTTTTTCCTTTCTAGTGGAGGAAGAGGGGAGAGAAGTAGAATGAACTCACATATTGGTTAATAATGGGCATATCAGGTGCCACTATTGGGACTCCAAAGGTCATCGCCCGAATGAGCAAGGGAGGAAAATCTTGTACATTTTGGGAAGATTCATAAAGAACAATATCGGCCACGTACAAAATACCATTTACGTCTTGATCAAAGCCATAATGGCTTAAATAACCACGAGGAAGTCTTAAACGTGAAGCAGTTTCCTACATAAGTTGAACGATTAATCATTAATCCAAAGAAATACTGCAGAAAAAGTACTTATCTAGAGTCAGACCATATGCATAAGAAAAAGTACAAATAGAAACATTCGCGATTCATCCTTATCTAGAGTCAGACCAGTGCAACTCTTGGTCTCGTTTAAAAGTATGCAGAAAATAAATCAAGAAAAGAAACTAGGTGGTGCATCCACCGACTGTTCCAACTCATTCACAGCAGTCTTATCTTAAAGGTATTCATGTATTCATTGCAAATAACAAGACAACGCCATTCTTTTGTACCTAGCCTACGTCCTGCCCACTTACTTTCTTCATTAGCAAAGTTTGGAAAACCAAAGATTACAAATGACACCTATACCATTAGTAGAATGTTCAAGCCCCTATAGACAAGGAATTTAAAACCCCGATAGATAAGGCAGATCCTTGTACCATTCTTAGATCCTTATCACTAAAGCATGTAAGTGACATACATGGAGAATGGAACCAGGAATCCACAGAAACTCCGAACTTCAAAAATCAACCTTCCCATGTCCACTACTTTCTAATCATATTAAACACAAAAATAATATTTTATGACTTCACTTTGTTTGATGTGTCGTTCATTTCCAGTCACTGTGAAATCAAATTACAAGAAAGTTGTAGTGGCCATACGATACAGAAGAAGTGATCCAAAAGTTTACTGCCTTTTTCTAAAGCTAGCATGTTGGTTCTCAAACTTACTCAGTCTCAGATATTTCATGCAAGTATCAGCTGCTAATTACATGGGCAGTAGTATTTTATTTTAAGACCATCTTCTGTATCCTCCTATCTCAATAGCATTTATTGGTTTCTCACTAGATATAAGCGTTGTCTAGTTGCTATAGTATAGGAAACTTTACATGATACATCTAAACCAAACAAGGCCAAAGGGAAGGATCAAACTCTACAACAAGAATTAATAAAAGCTATTTAAAACCCTCCTTCCTCTTCAATTCTAAATTTAAAAAAAAACAAACTATTATGCTATGAAGATGCAAGATTCCTCGGTTAAGTGACGGACCCATCACGTCACAACTCCCAACCACCTAAGCAAGGGCAGGATAAACATCCTTTCTTTCAGCCATTTGAGATAATTGAGGAGGCAAAAAACATACGGCATATACCCACATAGACACTTGCCAAGCCAGAACTAACTCAATCCCCATCATGAATATAAATTTGAAGTTGGTTTCTCCACATGCTCATCCCATATGCTATTTGGAACTATCAGTCCATTACCATTATAATCATAATTTCTTAAGGTAATCTAATTCTGCCGCTTCAATTTACATTCACCTTATAAATTTTCACTTGAGAAATATTGCAACACCTAAAACAGCAAATTTGTGGATTCAATTATTCATAGGATTTCTCTGTCGAGCTTAGTACAAAAATGTTACAGAGGTGAAGAACTTTGATTTAAATTTCCCAGCAGAAGATAAAATCCCATTTGCTAGTTATACTAAAATTTTAGGAAAATAAAACCTACTTCAATTCAATCAATATTTTCTCAATTTCACATATCCAATAATTACACACTATATAATTTGAAAAGGAGAAAGTAGTATACCAAGGCAAATTGGCACGCAAATAAAGCTAAAAATGTGCAAGCATAACAAAAGACTACCTGCAGAGCATCATTGCATCCGTGGGAGGAATTACCACACAAGAAGACAAATTTAAACGACCCTCTAGGATTCTTCCTCCTTGCAAATTTTGTTAGTAGAGGTCCCATGCGATACAATGCCGCAGCATATTCCGGTGATAGCTCATTATAGAAGGAATTTCCAACCACAAGAACTACGAAATCTTCTATACCAAATCCAAGTTTCTGTCCTAATTTAAACTTGAAGTGAGAGCTCTTATAAATTTCAGCAGTCCAAACGTCCACTGGTGATCCGTGGATCACATGAAAGTTTCCAGTATCAAGCGCACTATATAGCATCTGATATAAAGGGAAATAAAAGATGAGCAGTTGCTAAGAGAAACGTCAATGCCTTTTTTACTTTTTTTTTAAGGAAAGAAAAAGGTCAAATTCGAGGATAACCATGCGTCTAAAGGCCACATAATATAAACAGTCAAGTTCACAAACTTACAGGAAGAGCAAAATTGGGAAACACAATAACACTAGCTCTGCTAAAAGTACTTCTCCAATGAGAAACAAGATTCTCCCAGCCCTTGTCCTTGTACATTTTAAGACGCTTGGCTAGGATATCATCCTGAATGATCCATATAAGTGGTATTGAACAAAAAGGTTCCTGCATAATGCTGCATACATGAAAACTCATTAGTTATATACCATGAAAAGGGGGAAAATGTCTCAAATCTCTTCACAGCAACCGTACTAAAGAAAAGGTCTCTCCAAACATTCACCAGGAAAATGCATAAGCATTTAGATATTCATAATTCTGTATCAACATTCTCCAAACAAATTTGCTATCATTAATACTATAGAAAAAAATGCAATTCTCATTGCATCAGTTTTTACAATTTGAAACAAAAGAAAAAAAATATTAACAAGATAACTGTGTTCGTAAACATTAATAGTAAGAAGTTCATAACGTGCAAGGTTAACTGTATTTCTTTTACTTCACTGTATTTTAAATTGGAGGATTCCTTATTCTCCTATTTCGTAATTATCTTTACTTATTAATATAATATGTTGTTAAAAAAGTGAAAAAATAGAGTAAATATAATTATTCCAAATTATTTAAAAAGTTTTCTGAAGTTGAGCAGTGATTATTTTCACCTACAAGCAGATAAAACATATGACTTTCCGTGGCCTCAGACTCCAGAAAACTCCATCACTAACATCTTTTAAAAGAGATAGTATCAATAAACCAACCTTGTAATAGCCTCCTTCCCTTCAAAAGAATCGACGATAATGCCTTCAAAACTGCAATGACAAAAGTTAACCATTCATGCAGTTCTGACTACTAACAGAGATCATTTTGTGCTGATACAAATAGGAAAAAAGAACGGCATTAGTCTACTTTTATGTACGAATGCACAACCGATGTATGCGTGTGTATAGATATATATGCACTTACAGTAACCAATTGATCTGGCCAAACTGCTTTGGGCTTAAAAGGACAACCCGACCAAGTTTCAGCCACATTTGACGTGCTTCTCCATTGCCAACTGCAAAAATCTGAGCCTCTTCCATAAGAATATAATCATTTAAAAACTAACCAATAATATTACCCTTCAAGCATGAAGGTTTCAACGACACATCGATGCTCGATCTCACAGAATATGCCTAGAGAACCATGCATCGTGTGACTTCTTACACGGCTATTTCAGCAAATAAAAATCAATTATGCAATACGAGTAACAAAAGCAATGTCAAAGACCTCACCTCAAACACATATCCAAGCTCCTTCATGTTCTTCATTACAGTAATTAAGAACAAGGATAGTGAATCTTTCTCCATGTTTCTCAATATCTGATAATTTAGGCAACAAAAAATTAGGAACGGTTTGTTCGTTTATAAAAATTTAATTTGCTAGAATGCATCACGCCTGGGGGAGGGGAGGGGAGGGGGGGGGG